CTGTTTCGTTGCTGACTGTTGTTCCTGTTGCTGAGGCGATTGTGAATGGTATTGCTCCCTGGATTTCTTTCCTGCTTTATTTGTCCTTTGTATATATGAAGACTACTGACTTTTGTGTGCTAATTTTGCTTTCTCATGCATTGCTGGATGTGTTTACCAGTTGTAGATACTTTCTGGTACCATCTTTAGGATCATTTCCATATAGAATGAGATCATCTTCAATAAAGATACTTGGACCTTTCCTTCCACTTGTCCAGCTGCTCCAGCTCAGACTTGGGGACCGTGTCAGACAGGAGTGGAGAGAATGTGCCTATCCTTATGTCCTGTACCATGGAACACTTGGCCTCTGTGTGTTTCCTTGCTTGTGATGTTCAAGGTTCACTCTCTCCTGCCTCACAATTTTTAAAAATAGTTTTGATGCTACAAATGGATAATGGAATTCAGGAACTACATTCTAGGACTCAGCACACTGGCTGCTGTTGATGAGAAATTACTCTCAGGCCCTTTCACTCCAGAATCATAGCTAGGGAGTAAAGTTTTTAAAAGTGAGTATATAGTGAAACTGCCACTTCAAGTTTAAATTACATTCATATTTGTCTGCTTTGGCTTTTTATAACATGAACTTGTCATCTATCAAAACAAAGGTTACAAATATTTTCTCTATTTTTCCATTTAACTTTGAAATTAAAAAAGCCTTGTTTAGAAGAGGCTTCCCCATAAATAAATAAAATAATTAAAAAAAAGATAGCTGGCCTAATATAAAGGACAAAAGGAGGAGGAGGAGGAAGAAGAAGAGGAAGAAGAGGAGGAAGAAGAGGAGGAGGAGGAGGAGAAGAAGAAAAAGAGATTTCCCCATACTTGAGTGTGCCCACAGTACAGTTTACCTGTGTTCATCTAAATAGGATACCCTCATTTTTAGTAATTATCTGATGCATTAGAATATATAATATTTGTATAGAACATATTGGTATAGAGTGTGACATATAGAATATATTATATTGATATAGATAGAATGAAATATAGAATATATTATATTGGTATAGATTGTGAGGTATAGATCATTTTTTTCTAAAATATCCATCTAGTTGTCTGATGCCACAAACCAAAAATAATCTCTTCATTCTCTTTTGCTAATAAGCACTTGGATCTTTTTAAAAATATTTTAAACATTTCTGTTGGTCTATATATCACCTCAAGTCAGTAATGTGCTGCTTCAGTTGAAGAGGCTTCTTCTCTCATTCTTAAATATCCTTTATGGGTTTTGTTTTATTTTTGTTTGGTTAATTTTTCAGAAAATAAAACTAATAAAACTAATTTTTAGATAATGTAATTTTAAACTAGATAGCTCTAAATCAATCTTAAAACTAACATAATAACATAATAGAAGTTCAGAGAGCATGATATAAAATTCAGTATATAGCTAATATCTCTTACATATTCAGACAAATTACATGGTGATTACATGGAGAATACACTATTTACATGAGCGATGTCAAAGAGGAACCATGACAATGTAAGAAATGTCAATGAAAGAAAGAAAAAGAGAAAGAAAGAAAGGAAGGAAGGAAAGAAGGAAGGAAGGAAGGAGGGAAGGAAGAGGTGGTGCTTCTGAGATGCACAACCATCTTAGGAAATGTTAAGGCAACCCTTGCTCTGTGACCAGTCTAGCACTCTACTGACAGCTCTGCCCAAAATAATATGTGAATTTAATAAGATTTCAGTTAAAATGGAGGTCCAAAATTCATATGGCTCCTGAAAGAGTTAGAAAAATCTTGATGGGGAAGAAAGAAAGAAAAACCAGAAGAAATAAACCCAGCTAAACACCAGTCCATCCCTGACTAGGCTGGTGGTGGAGTTCAGGGGTCAGCACTCACCTAGCATGTGTGATGTTCTGCATGCATGTGCTCTTCATACTGTGCTGTACATTACAGAAGCACTTTTAAGTGTATACATACAACCTTTTATAAAACTTCACAAATACTACCTACCTTTTAAAATTCTATTCTACTGGAATATAGTGGTTTTTAGTTCATTTTTCAAAGGCAATTGTCTTAGTTAGGGTTTCTATTGCTGTGAAGAGACACTACGACCAAGACAACTCTTAAAAAGGAAACCAAATAATTGGAGCTGGCTTACAGTTGAGAGGTTTGATCCATTATTATCATAGTGGGAAGCATGGCAGCATGTAGGCAAACATGGTGCTGGAATGATAGCTGAGAATCCTACATCTGGATCAGCAGGCAGCACAAAGAAAGGATAACACTGGGCCTGCCTTGAGCTTCTGAAACCTCAGAGCCTACTCCCAGTGACATACTTCCTCCAACAAGACCACACCTACTCCAACAAGGCCACACCTTCTAGTAATGTCACTCCCTGTGAACCTGTGGGAGCCATTTTCATTCAAATCAACACAGCAAGTAACCAAACCATAATTCATTTATTCTCAGCCTACTGTTCCTCCTATGTTGTCTGGTGGAAATCTGTTAGCAAAATTTCTTTCTCTCAGGAAAGGTCAATAATGTTTTTAGGCCTTCAACTGATTACTTGAGGCCCACTTACACAGTGGGAGTAATTTACCTTACTTGGTTCTTCTAATTTAAATGTTAGTACTATCCAATAAAATGCCTGCAAAGAAACATCTAGAATAGTGTTTGACTAAATATCTGGATACCATGGCTTAGCCAAATTGACATGTAAGGTCATATGTAGCACAGTAAACCACATGTGTGTTTTCAGTTGTTGTATGCTGAGAAATGTAAAACCAGATTGAAATGTAGACTTTTAAAGTTAGGTCTATTTAGAAGAGGAAGCTGTTTCAGATTTCCTCTATGACTATTTCTTTGTATATGTTTTTAACTTCAGCCTTCAACGGACATGTACTATTGTACTTTCAAACTGTCATTTCTGTATGTAATTGCAATTTAAAGCTAAGCTAATTTATATAATCCATTTCTAAAATTTCTCTTTTGGGGTGCTAAGAAGTGGGGGCTGACTGATTAGAGAACTTGTCACTCAAGCCCCCAAGGACTCTAGTTCAGATCTCCAGTACCCAAGCTTGTGCTCGATGGGCATGACATCCTGCCTGTGGTCTTAGAACCCAAGCAGCAGAGCCAAGATCATAGAGCAAGCTAGATTAGTCGTTGGTAGTCTGTAAACTCTGGCTTCAAGAGAAAGACCCTACTCTATATAAGGGAGCAAGCAATGGAGGAAAATACAGAATGTTAACATCTGGCCTTATACACAAACACACACACACACACACGTATGCATGGGCACACATGCACATGAATGCACTTGCAAGAAAATGTAGTTTTTAACATTTTTTACTCTTGAAATTGAAAACTGAAATCCAGAAGGTTTATTTTTTCTCTTCCTGTAATTGTACAAATTCTAATGATGTAAATGAGGGGAAAGTTTGTTTTTATCATTTCAAATTACATTTTATTTCTGGGCCATGCCAAACTCCTCTCATTGATTGCAGCTATGAAAGTTAGAAGAGGTATAGACAATAGAAGTTGCACAAATTGACAAGAACCAAAATTGTTTAAATATTTTGCAATTTTTTGTCTTTTTTTCGCTTAGAAGTAAGATTAATCTGTGAATGAATGTCATTTTTTCAAAGTTAAAGACTTTACATGTAAGGAAAAAACCTGCTTCATTTGCTCTACTTTTTTTTTAGTACAGAACATTTCTGTTTTATTACACTAGTTTATCTTTTATCTGACTCCGAAGTTAGCCACTCAATAAGTGTTAGCCTTGGTTGGACCAAAGCTATATAGTGATTCATATGCTATTGCAAACAATAGGTGCTGAAAATGTGGGAGGTTTTGCTTTCATATTGCTTGAAGGCCGTTTTATACCTTGGATTTACTGAATTGTTGGGGCTGCATCAGTTGTTTTTAATTCTACTTGTAGAGAGCTAATGCAGACATGCTCAGCATCCTCAGTGCTGGGAGGAGTGGCATGTATCACCATACCAAGCTCTTGGAAAAAACAAAAGTTTAGAGGAAGCAAAGCTGTATCATTAAATATATCATGCTTCATTTTAAAGATATTATTTGAAAGTGATATAAAGCTATAGTTTTTCTTAATCTCAGTTCATTCATTTACTTTAAGGAGCGTTAAATAAATACATATGTACATAGTATTTATGTACATAGCCTTTTGCTTAAACTGGGAATTTTGCTAATTGCTACTAGTAGACTTTATGGTTCTCATCTCCAAGGTCTGTGTGACAGCCATTATCATTATTTGAACCAAACCATTCTAGTTAACAGTTACAGTATTCCAGCCCACGTGTTAGTTTGTAATGTATAAATATTAGAGAGTAAATGAGACCAAGACCTGTGTTTACTCTAAGTCTGAGCCCAGCTTTGAACTAGTGTCTTACAGATCAGATGCAGATGGTATGTACTTTACAGGTTACTTATCATAAAGAAATGCAACAGAGAACACTAGGAACATGTGATAAAAGGATGTATCTCAAGATTAGCCCTCATTGTTACTTACCTCATTGTAAAGGGAAGAATCAGAACCTACTTTCTGTCACTGGATGGTGACTAGATAAGTGATGGAATGATCACAATAAGAGACATCGGAGAGACGTTCAAATGGATTTATTTATTCTTTTGAGAGAATAAGGGAGCATAGTTCTTTCACAGCTTCTGTGGTGTTCCATTGTAAATCCAGTGACCTTCAGTCAGAAATAACCCTCTGCTGGAAGAGTGGTAGACCTTTCGTGCTGAGAGAAGGCTCCGAATACATCTGGAACCATCACTAGACGCCACTCAAATGGGAAAACCGGCCTAGCAAACCTTAAATTGGGCATCTTAGCTGAACTCATCAGCTGCTCCTAACCAAAGAATTTGTGACAGTTTGGTAGGACCCTGCCATCTGAAGACGCTTCATTCTTATAAACTCTACAAGGCATGTCATATTGATACAATGTTTTAAAAATAAAATGGACATAATAGCCAAGTGTGTTTCTTTCCCTTCCACAGCATTTATCAGCATAGAAAGAGGGCCTTTTGTGCGTCATGTTGATCCGCCACCAATGGTAAGTAAGGCAGTCCCTCTCCCTCTCCCTCTCCCTCTCCCTCTCCCTCTCCCTCTCCCTCTCCCTCTCCCTCTCCCTCTCCCTCTCCCCCTCTCCCTCTCCCTCTCCCTCTCCCTCTCTCTCTCTCTCTCTCTTTCTCTCAATTTTTAAAACTAGTAAGAAACTACAGCATAGATCTGGCTAATGATATAAAGTGCCATGTTGAAAACTCTTTTAGCCGGGCAGTGGTGGCGCACGCCTTTAATCCCAGCACTTGGGAGGCAGAGACAGGTGGATTTCTGAGTTCGAGGCCAGCCTGGTCTACAGAGTGAGTTCCAGGACAGCCAGAGCTATACAGAGAAACCTCTCGAAAAAACAAAAAAAAAGAAAAAGAAAAAAGAAAACTCTTTTAACTTCTCTTTTCCAAAGTTCTAGCCCTACAAGAAAATCAACTTCATGTCTTCCAATTAAAGAAAACCTAATTTTTGCCAAAACATAGGAAAATAAGATACAATCTCTTACAGACACACATTCATTTTTTAACCTAAAATAATTTATACTTTTAATAATGTAAGTATATAATATAATATAATATTTGCATTTAAAATGAATTATTTTCTGGAATAGTTTATTTAGAATGGATATTTTATAATAGTAAAAGACTTCCTTAATGCATCATTTCTCTTAAAGGTTATTTTTGCTATATTATTATGGAAGTGAATTTTTACCTTTTATTTCTTTTCTATTAGTACTAGACAATAAAAGGCATTTAATTATAATATGTGTTACAGTAACATACATAAAATGGCATTTCCTTTTAGTCTCTTAATGTGCTTATATGAAATAACCTAAGTAACTAAATTCTAGTTGGGATTCTCATAGGATAACGTAATCTATGCTACATCTGTTTTCCCATCAGCGTAGTCTCCTCCTCCCTCAAGGGCTCCAAGCTCCTCACATAACTCACTCTTGTGTATTGTGAGAAACAAGTCTAAATGAAATAGACAATATTGAAATGTATTTTGATATTTTCTTAATAGTTGCCTCCTAGAAAATTAACATCAGTCTTTTATTTGATTAGTTTAATGTTTTTTATGAATTACAGTTTGGTATGTATGAGATGGTAGTCACCAAAATAATCATAAAAAGTATTCAGCTGTAGAACTATTCCAGCTTTAGTATGTGTGCCACCAAGACTGTAGCCACAACATTGTATACATTTTATTCATTTGTAAAATTAGAAGCTTAATTTAGGAAATTTGTTATTTTAATGTATTTGAGTAAAGTACTCAGTCCTTAGATTGCTTACATACTGTTATTTTAATCTTAAAGGCATTCCTATGGCACCTGTGTTCTCATTTCTGTTTCAGTCCATGTTATTAACTGTTGACTCTCAGAGCCTAATCCATGAGAAATCAGGAGCAGTCGTGGTAGTCATGGTATCAGTAATCCAACCATGACCCTAGAACACTGTGATGTTCTGATGCTGTTGTCTTGGGAGTCTTCTCTCCTGGCTGGTCAGAAGTGCTAGCTCCTAAGTGTTCATACAGTTTTACCCTGTATAGTCAGTACATTTTCACATGCCGGTATGTGCGGAGACTTCCCAAACCTGCAGCTTGCTTTTTGTAGGTTTTCTGAGATAGGACCACCTACTCTGATGCTTCTTTGCTACACACTTAAAGATCTTTTCCCATTCCTGCAGTCCTTAAGCCTGGTGATGGTGTTGGCACTTCCCCACAGCAAGTCTGTTCATTACCTGATACCCTGGGGTCCTTGAGACAGATTAACTCTGATTTTCATATAAATATAGTTCTGCATAACTTTTGTCCTTGAGCTCCTAAATTGTTTAAGAGACAAACATGTATTTGGAAAATATGAAGTAATCAATCAGTCCCTTAAAATTATCAACATGAAATACTTGTAAATCCAAAGTTTGTATTATTCTGGCCCAAAGCAAGCCCATGCATTAGGCCACTCTTTTGTGCCTAAATCAAAATAAAAAGAGATCACCCAAGATTTGAGAGTGGCTGGTGCTGGGCCAGAAGTGACTTCTTGGCCTTGTCTGGAAGCCTCAGTGCCATGGTACCTACCTGTTGCTCTCCCTCCTCCCCCTCACTCCTTGTGCTCCAGCCAAGGCCTTGCAGAGTGCTAGATGCTGCTGTACCTACTTACCAGTGAGGCAAGAGAGGAGCTGAGAGTTCTCAGGCCTCTGACCCCGAAAGGATGTGTTTCCTCAGTCCCGGGTGGAATTCTGGTAGAGCTTTCAGTTAAATATGTGTTGTAGGGGAGATTTCACCTCTTATTTGCTTGTATTGTTGAGTCACATAAGTAGATACAAAGTAACCTGAAAATAAAACCACCTCTGTCCCTTTTCTCTGCATTATCAGCCCTCTTTCCAGTTTACTTATTTACTTTTCTATTTTCATTAAATACATGAACTTTCTTTTTGTGGGGTGGGAGTTGTTTGATTGTCTATGGCATACATAGTACCCCATTTTTACACTACCTTTAATAGAAATTGAAGGCTATGCCTGAATGGACTGATGGCTTCCGTCAAAGTGACTCAAACCTCCCTTTTTCTTTTGTGTGCTGACCTGATGGTTTGCTTTGTCTTGTTTTAGAACTCAGGGTTGACTTTGTGGCCTCACAGGTTAGGCAAGTGCTCACCACTGAGCTGCACTCCAAGCCCTGCACATGCTGAGTTCTTAATTTTGTTCACAGCCAAGAGTACATCTCCAAGTTGTTTTTTCAAGAAACGAATAAACAGAATGGAGATGATACTTAAGTATGCATATCTAAACTATCCCTCGGTTGACTTTGCTTAGTCCCATTTTTGTTTGGGAGTATAATCTTTTCGCTTTTAAAGATGTGATAGAAAGTGATCACTTCTGCCTCTTAGCAGTTAGCCTAACATTCTTTTGTATAACTAACCTGTTATTGCCCATCATAAATTCTGTTTCATTTGTACCTAGTATCCTAGGTCTGACCTGATGATTGACACTGTAATTTTCTCCTTGTTGACTGTTCTGATGAGCAATACTTACTTGAACACTGTCCTGAAAATCAACAAGGCACAAGTTGGATACTTTAGTAGATTATATGAAAATAGTTAAATTATGTCCTTTAAAGACTAGTCTCCCACCTGCTGCGAGCCTGTGGCAAGTTAAGGATAAGTCATTAGCCTCAGATCTCTCAGAAGTCTTTGTCTGAACTCTGAGAGGCAGGTGTAAAAGTTAGTTAATAATTAAGTCAGCAAAGGTGTGAGTCCTTTATTTGTTTTAAATGAAGGGCTTATTTGCAAATCAAAAAGAAACACCCACTAGTATAAGTAAATGTTCCTCAGGAACATAGTATAAAACATACCTGCTTTTTAACATGTTATCATATGCATAGCATATCATTTCATATTTTGTGGCAGATTATTATCTTTGCAGAAGACATTAAAACATAGCCAGACAGTGGTGGCGCATGCCTTTAATCTCAGCACTTGGGAGGCAGAGGCAGGTGGATTTCTGAGTTCGAGGCCAACCTGGTCTACAGAGTGAGTTCCAGGACAGCCAGGACTACACAGAGAAACCCTGTCTCGAAAAAAAACAAAAAGACATTAAAACATAGTAATCTGTGCCAAATATGTACATGCCTCTTAGTGATTGGAGTTTTATTTTTAATCTCTTCAATAAAATAATAATGCAAAATGCAAATAATATTTGTTGACCTATACTGATTAGCAACTTGAATTTTTGCAAAGTTCTGCTTTTCAAATATGTAACAATTACTAATATGCATTGCTCTTAATTTATTCAGTCGTCCTATTACTGAGAACACATTGTCTTTTAACACATGGATTTGAAATAGTTTATAAAATTACAGCTTATATTTTCTAAGAAGTTTATATTCCCACATCTGCCACATGTTCAGACAGAACAGTCTGTCTCCTTAGGCTTCTACCTGTTGTGAAATACTTACCATTTGTCAAAGTAGCCCTTTCATCAGAAGGATTCAAAGCATCCTAGCTTGACTTGACATCTAAATGTTAATTCAGTTGTTGTTCTTACATTTGTTCTTTAGGTTAGCATTGAATTTTTATTGGTTTAACTGATAGATTTTTGTCATAACTTATTAGTTACAAACCATAATGTTTTAGACTTGTTTTGTTACTTTTGAAATATTTGAGATGACCACGGTGTTGCTTGGCCTCAACACTAAATTTGTTCATAAATCTACTAATTAAGTCACACAAAGTAAATTTGATTGTGTCTCTTTGGGATTTTATGATCTGTCTTATTCTGTAACATTTTGAGCCATTGGCACTATGTTATTATCATTCTGTAGCCCTTTATGTTGACAAAATTCCTACGTATTATCTTATTGCACTTTGTGTGATAATCCTTACTTGTATACTTATATAAAATGCAACTGTCTCACATGCAATGTATTAGTTCTAGATAAAAGTATAGATTTAAGTGGAATGTCTTGATTCAAAGGGCACATGTTATCTTCTTCAGTGAGTAGCGTTTTCCAGGAATTCATAGTATGTAAACAGAGGTGAACATGCCCCACAAAACTCATAAACTAGGACCTGAGGCTGATCTCTTCCTGTTGGTAATTGCAGGGTGGAGAGGGGACGTGGAAACTCTGAGCTTTTATAACTTGTTGTAAAAGATCCTGTTTTCATTTATCAGTGAAGTAGCAATTGAAAGAAGTTCTGCTGAAATTTCCATTGAAAATCAAATGCACATGCTAGATAGGATCTCTTTTAAAACCATGAATGGCTGTTCATAATAATGTTTTTTTCATTAAGTATCCTCATTCTTCCCTGTATACTGTGATTATAAAGCCTGTGTGAATTTTCCCATTGTCACTTTGCTGACATTTATGGTTTTCAAAGATTTCTCTCTTCTTTGTACTTTACTAAGTGTTTTTAGTCTATCGAACTTATTTTAAAGTTTTCCTGTCTCTGAAGCACTGTAAAGTAACAGTGGCACGAACCCAATTCTAAAGTATCAACAGATACACAGTGT